CGAATGACTTTGTCCAAAAGATGCCGAGCAAATTCTTCCTCATGCCCCTGTAAGAGATTCCCCGCCCCTGTAAGAGGTTCCCCGAGCCTCCTTTGCCCAATAGGGTTCATGTCACCTGAAACAGGGCTGCAGGGTGGTAAACTCTGGATGCAATAAGGGCAGAGAAGTACTGGTACTTTGCTGCCCTTCTTGCCACAAGGTAAGCCTTAATAGGGGCTCTAACCTGTGTTTCATCCTTCATTGAGCGCCAGTGACGCTCTAGATGTGTCTCCTCTCGTTTCATGTCCCTCAACTCCTCCATGAACTATGGGGAGTGACGGGATCCCCAAGAGGGAAGAAGTCGCATGGCTGCAATCCAATCCAAGGCCTCAGCCCCCTCCTTATTCCAAGCGGCAACCAAAGCTTTGGATGGACCGTGCAGCAGACCAACAGGAACAACTCTCAGCTCCCTCTGAAACCCATCTGGGTCCATTGGTCTCTGGGGCTGGACCAATCTAATGGGTCCAGCCTCCATGCAGTGGATAGTGGCAGTAGAGAATCTCATGGAAATCCGGGCATGATCTGACCATAACAAGGGAGACACCAAGAGCTCCCCCAATTCATATAGCCACTGCTCCGACAGGAACACCAGCTCCAGAGTGTGACCACTATCCCATATTGGGCTCTGGATGACCTGGGTCAGGCCCATGGCTGTCATGGTGGCCATGAACTCCCAAGCCACCTCAGACCTCATTCCTAGGGCAGGCAGATTCAAGTCCCCCAGAACCATAAGTCTCTGTAACTCCACTGCCAACCCAGAAATGGAGTCAAGGAGCTCAGGCAGCGAAGTTGCTATGCAGCAGGGAGGCTAGTACAGCAGCAACAATCCCAACTGTTCTCTAGAGCCCAACTTAATGAACAGGGTCTCACATCTGGTGACCTGTGGTACAGGCCCCTGAAAGTCTTAAGAGATTCCCAGATGACAATCGCTACATGCCCACCCTTACCCTGGAGTCTCAGCTGATGCTGCACTCGAAACCCAGCTGGGAATATTTCTGAAAGGGCAGTCCCCCCTTCTGGACCCAGCCAGGTCTTGATATTACATGCCAGGTCGGCCCTCTCATCAGTTATCAAATCATGAATGAAGGAGGCCTTATTACAGACCAACCTGGCATTCAGTGGCAGCAGCTGGGGGTCAGGGCCACTGAAGGTCTGCTGACGGTACTGAGGTTGAAACCAAGGAGCTGGAACACAAAACTGGTATGAGAGAACAGTTCCCAAAAACAGCCTGCTCCCTATCTCCCCATGCCCATCATCACCATGATCCTTTGGCCCGCCTCCACCCCACCAATGGCAGCCCCATCTCAAGAACCAATCCCCCCACAACCAAGGACTGGGAACCTCCCATTGTCCTCTCCAGCCTTCCCTGGGAGAGGAAGCCGGGCACCCCAAGGCACTTTAGCTTCACCAGCTCTCAGCACCCAGGGTACCCAGCTGCCAGCTCTCCACACACTACAGTACACACACAGACTACAACACATCCATACACATACACACACACACACTCAGGCTCCTTCCCCTGCTGCTCCCACCAGCTGATAGAGGTCTCCCATCATTCAATTACCACCAGTTTCTCCTCTGGCTCTCACCCAGAAGAAGGAGTCAGTCAAATTCACAAAGGCGCTCAACACACAGATGGAGCCATGTTATTTTTTCCTTCCTTCCTTCCTTCCTTCTTGCTTCCTTCCTTCCCTTCTCACGGCTACCCAGAGGGCAGGCAAAAGTGTCCTCCATAGGGAAAGGGGGTCCACAGTAGCCTCCCAGCCCTACTGTCATCACCTCCCCTGCTTGGCCACCACTCACACCTCCCAAGCCCAACATCCCACAAAAAAGAATAGATGGTATCGGAAAGATTCCAGCAATAGCAAAGGCATCCAGCAGCAAAAGCCTCCAGCCAAAGCAGAAAGTGTCCAGGAGCAGTGTCGGCCAGAATCTGCTTCCACCAGAAGCAGCCAATAGCAGCTTCCAACAGCAGCATCCTGCCCCTCAGCCTACCTCTCTGTGTCTAGCAGCACCACGTCCTATGCATATGTCATCAAAAGCAAATCCTACTGTGTTTTACAGAGTTTATGCCTGAAGTTCCACAAGATTGGTTCACCAATAATTTAGTCTTCTCTGAAACGTGGCTTTGGATAATTCTTTGCCTCAGTATTTACAATGTTTTTTTTCTTCACTGGCCCTCAGAAATTTTTCTAGTACTACAATGACATCTAGTGAGGGAAAAATGAAATGTTCTTATTTATGTAGTCCAAGCCATCGCCAAACTATACTTGAGACATAAGAGAACTAAAAGTAATATTGGGAAACAGTTTCAAACTGTGGCGATTACATTCATCTGTCCTCTGCTGCCATAGCCTTGATCCAGAAAAACATATTTGGAGATCATGTCTATCCTACGTTTTCTTTGGGGTTGTCTTCCAGAGTTTTCCATAAGAATGGCCTGCTAGACTTCAAATATGCAATTTGACATGAAGTATAATACTAGAATAGGTTTTGTGAGTGGACATATAATAGCTGGCAATCTTGGTTGCCGCTCCTAAGAATTGGTCCAATCTTTCTGAAACTGGTTTACTTACTTACATACTTACTTACAAATTTTATATACTGCCCAAATGCAAGAAGACTCCTGGGGGTTTACAATTTGCAATATCAATAACACATAAAAACAGATTAAAAAGCCACCAGCCTAACCCAGTGCCCACACTCCACAGCAACAATCCTTACAAATTAAAAGCTCTATGAAATGGCTCTGTCTTAACTGCCTTCCTAAATACCAACAGTGTGGCTGCCATCAAAGCTCTTGGGGAAGGCTATTTCAAAGGGACAGAGCCACAACAGAAAAATATCTTCTGTCCCTAGCCCACCTCCAAAACTTACAATGCAGAAACCCTCAACATCCCACTTCTGAACAAAAGACCAGACAAGTCAATTCTACTCAAAGGAGATAGTCCTGAAGCTTTATAGGTTTAAGCTATCTCTTTTTATTGTTCACTGAAACCAATTGGAAGCCAGAGCAATGACTGTAAAAGTAGCCATCCCCATGATTATGTTAACAGATTCCATTCAGTATTTGGCCTGCAGTGAAGCAACTTCTTCCTTGCTGTTCCTTTGTCTCCTTGCTACACTTCTGAAGAGTGTGACAAATATGAGTTATTCGAAATAGCATCTCACAGTGTTTCACATCTGTGGCATAGCCTATGTGTAACTTTTGTACTTGAGCATATGTGACAAACATACAACCCCTCCCCCCAACTGTAAAGGCAGTCCTCTCACATAATACCAAATCATGATGTTGCTGTGCTCAGATTAGTGTTCCTTCCTCTCCATTTGTAGTTTTATGCCAAACCATGGTCTGCTGAATTTTGATTTAATGACAAATTTACATGAACCAGGAAAGAGGGAGATGTTACACTGTAAAGAGAGAAAAAACCTTAAAACCAAAGATGCTAAGTCATATTTTCATATTGCATATGGGTCCAGTAAAAGGTACTTAAAGTTTCAAAATACACTGTTTGAAAGGCGTCCTGTGCTGTTGCATATGAAAAGTAGCAACTGTGCTTTATATTACATAGTTAAATGGCGGTGGGGTTATAATCAATCTCTGTTCCTAGAACTTATACTTAGTAATATATGCATTGTAGATATATAGTATGTTTTTATTTGCATTTGCAAAACATACAGTATTTGACTCAATTGGCAATATTACATTTTTTTTCTTTTACCAATAGAGGTGAGATACTTATATGAGTATAAAAGGAATCTTATGAGATTATGGTGAGATGCCCATTTTTGCATTTAAAAATGCAAGAGTTGTAAGCTGCACATTTTGAATGATCCTTTTTGAGAGGCTCCAATGTTTGTTAATAAACACAATAACTTTGGTTGTTAAGAAAGTGGAATTACTCATCAGATGAAATTCCAGCATTCTAAATAACTAATATAATGACATAGTGTAGATTACTATGCAGATACTGCACTGGTTCTTTCATTGACCAGGACTACTTGTACAGTGCTTTTTCCTGATTGATTCTTAGGATTTCTTTTTGACCTGTTGGCTTTAGTAAGTCGAATTATCATGGTCTGTGTACTGATCAGAGGCCTGGCAGTGGCTGGTTAGTTTTTAAAAAGAGCAGGACTACAGGAGAGAAAGCAATTTGTATAGCAGAATTCTATTAATGCAGACTTGGGTCCAAATTTAGATTAGACTTGCTAAATAAAATGTTTTTAAACCAGGATTCTGGTATAATTAATAGTCTCAGAGCCAAAGTAGTCCTCTTAGCTAGCTGTAGTAGAAATAATTGATGGTGCTCAAATCAATATAGCAGGACAAGATCTGCAAATGAAATGTGGTTTATCACTTAATTATAATTGAGAGTTCATTTGTGCTCTTTCCTCTCTCACATGATTTCCCACTCTTCCTGTTTTCTGCCAGATTAGGTGTATTTAAGAGTTTTCACCACACTGGCTATAATTAGGCTTCTATTTTATTAAGAAACCATAGTTTAAAAGTGTTTTTAAAAGTCTAGTTAAAAGTTAATGGTGAAGTCTAGTCTTGATTTGAGCCTTATTGATAAGGCTGGAAGGCAGATGGAATTCATGTGGAGAAAGGGACAGACTTGTGGTCTATTTCAGGATTGGATGCTGGTTGCCCAAACATAGGAAAACAGTTTTAATGAAACATTTGTTTCATTTCTACCTTCTGTATGTCTTTTAATGGACAGGACTGGGCATGGTATAGTTTTTTCCCTAAAGCATATAGACAGATCTTCACTTTTTCTCCCAGTTGATAGAGTGTTGACTTCCATGTAGAATTATTTTGATGGTTCTTTACTGTACAGCCTTCATTTTATTCTGCTTCTACTCTTTTCGCATAGCCTTACTTCATTGTTCCTTGCCCTCAAAGCTTCTCATTTCCCTCTATGTGGTTCCCCCATTACTACTATGGCTCATGTCTCTTCCAGCTTTGGAGATATGTTATCCTATACATTGACAGCATTTGTTGAGCTGATGGATCATGGAATTGTATCTTGGGATACTTTCTCTGTGGCTTTTATAAAAAAGGTAAGGTTTATGTTTGTCACTGATATCCAGAGTAGGTATGGGGACAACCTCATTTATTTATATTTGTGTCGGTCTCATTCACATAAAGTAAGGAATGGGTGTCACGTACAAAATAACTGGATAAATAACTGAGTTTACACATTGTGTTAAGCTGTAGCTTGCTTAATCATCATTTAATGTATAAACCATAATTAGTTCGGTTCATACAGCATGTGATGTTATGGTTTATTAACCACAATACCCAGGTTCATGCAGCATGTTAAACCAAAACCAAACAGACTCTTTTACAGCTTAGCATGATGTATAAACCAAACCAAACCAAACCAATATATGATTTCTACTTGGTTGCAGTTCATAGATATTAAAAACTAATTTGGTTGTTAGTATTTCTAGAATTGTAGGCTTGCATGCAAGTTTTATTTAAGCTCAGGGACTGCATGAAGTTTGTTGGATGCACTTGTGCAGAAATCCTATCTGTAAGTTAGTCATAGAGGTTTTGGGAGGATAAAATGAAAATGTATGAACTCCATAAATGTATAAAACAAGTTCTGAATAATATTGGAACTGCACTGCATTGAAAGGAAATTTTTTCCACATGTGTTTGGCAACTCTGGAAATGGTGAAATCCTGGAATGCAGCCATGGAAAGTATAAAATATATGCTTTCAGTATCAGCTGAGGGTTGATACAGATATTATATTCATAAGTGCCCAACTAAAACTTCAGACATAAAATGTGTCAAAAGATTTTATCACATGCATATTTCCCCCACAATTTGATAATAGCTAAGTACTGTCATTAATCATTCTTAATTACCTTCACAACACTGACCCAGTCATTATATAAAATGAAGCAATTACTTTGAACAGCAGACTATGATGGGAGGTGAGCTAAGTCTCCCTACCTAGTGCCCTTTTCAATGGCTACTATAGTAGCTGTTTCATAACACCTAAGATGCCTACACAGGCAATTACTATGGTCATCTTACAATGTGTTACTCTGAGTATTCTTGCAGAGTTACTGTATAGCGTGCCTGGCTGTTTACTGTCTGGGGAGTTGTGAGGATGGCTGTTGCAGAGGAACAGCAGTATGCCTCCCACTTGAAGTTAAGGGTCTTCTTGGGTTGTTCCTATAAACATGAGAAGTCTGCTGTCACAGTTGGATCCAGAGTGTTAATATTATGTTCAGGAGGATTTACTTTCAGTTCTGGATTCACAGAAAAATTGTGATTTGTTCATAGATTGCAAGTTACGTGAGCAAGTTCCAAAATGATATTGCTATACTACAAAGATCATTAGCCATTTTAGAATCAATGGTGCTGAATGGTCATGATCTGTATCAGAAAGTGGCACAAGAGATAACAATTGGGCAATTAATTCCACACCTACAAGGGTAAGTTTTCTTTGATTTTGTTTTCTTGCTTGTTTTAGCCTGGGAATAACTTCAAGTAAGAAACTAGTATAAGAACTAGTATAAGAACATATAAATTATCTTAAAACTCTTCCAGGATCAAAGTTTGATAAAGATGCAGCTCTTCCCTTGATCATTAAAGGAACAATTAGCAGTTAAAGTACAAAGTGTTAATGCTTCATACACAGAGAATTAGAAGCTGGTGAAAGAAGACCAGGTGGCTGATGGGGCAGGGGGAAGTCTAACTGTTACCACCTTTCCCCATTGGAACATTTCTCCTGGTGGTGCCTTCATGCCACTTTCTTAAGTATATTCAGCATAGAGAAGCTATTCCTTTTCCTAATGCATATGTTCAGCCAAGTGGCGTTCAGCAAGCCACTTACCTCTAATTTAAACTGACTTGCAGCAAATTATTTTGTCTCTAAACTGGTCTCACAAGAAAATTTGAAGCTATATAATATGCCCTGGGAAAAAATGAGGAACAAAAATGATATAGTCCCTCTCTTCTATCAGACCCAAAATGGGCAAAAAAGAAACACAGCAAGTAGCAGAAGCAAAGTCAAATAAATGTTACAAGTTGAGTCTGGGGCTTCAGATCATGTTCGGACAATCCAAACAGTTAAAGATTGGCAGCTTACTGAACTGTAAGGAGCTGAGAAGTATTCTTACTAAGTTTACAATGCCTGAGTTTGATAAGAATGTGGAATGGGGAGATGAAGAAGAAGGAGAGAAAGAAAAGGTATAAATTGCCCCTTACAAGAGAAATGACTTTACCTTTTCCCCCAATGGGTGGAATTGAACACAGATTTTGATGCAAGTCGTTGCCTCCTTACTACTCAGACAGCAACCTCAATTTTTAAAAGTAATGAACTAAGAAATAAATATTTGGAAGTCCTATTACCCAGAAAAAAGCAGAGAAGAAAATGAAGGGGAAGTTCATTTTAAAAGAAATTTATAATCTGTAAGTGGGAGGCTCCCAATGAGGTGAATGGAGAAAAGTTAAGCAAATATCAGTAGAAGAGCGCAGAAGAAGGCGGGGTAGACCATCCTCTCCTGCTGTGACCTGGAAATAACCATATAAGGAATGGCACCGTCACAGGAACTAAAACTGTTTTCTTACAGATCAAAGCCAGTAGTGCTATCAAACAAGAGATCTGATATAATCAAAGGGCTATTTATTCAGTCCCTGAACCTTTTGATTTAAAATTTATTTTAGTGATTTGTATAAAATTATTGGGAAAGAGTGGGAGCATCAGAATTTTACTACTTTAGAAGCATCTGGTAATCTCATAAATTATTAAGATTATCAGATTATCAATGTGCTATAAGGAATCAAAATTGTCTCACATCATGTGCTTTAAAATACTAAAATTTGTCCTCTTTATTCAATAAGCATAATGGAATCCTGATAAGAACAGATGTTCAGGTGCTGCTGCCACCAAATATGATAACATGCTTACCAAAAATTATGCTGCTCCCTCTCCAGGGGCCCCAAGAATAAACACTGAGAAACATAGGTACTGAAGAAGATGGAGAGGATGAAGGGGATGAAAGAAAAAAGTCTGACTCATACCAAGAATTATCACAGAAAGCTAATGGAAATTATGTCAAAGTTAGATATTTTTAAAATCATTAATGGTAGTATCAATGGCTGTAGAACCTCTGACAATGAAACTCAGATAGGTAATCTATATATGCAAGTGGCATAGTTGAGGCTGGATGCAGAGACTGTGCTATAAGAGACAATGCTATAATTTAAAAATGAAATGAAATGATACTGGTGGGTCATAAAACCTTTTCATGCCTGTTTCTAGGGATAGACAGAACATTTATGGAAAAAGAAAGCTTTTAGTCCTTTTTATGTCATTGCTTGACAGGTCCTAATTAAAAAAAACTTTAGCTTTTGAATTGTCTAGGGAGGAAAATTTGAAAACATCCAAATCTTTTTGATTTCTGTTCATGGCTTCCCACTTGTAATAAACATAAAACTTGATAATTAGAAACCTCTAAGTTGTTGTGCAGTGTTAAAAAAGAAAACCTCAGTTGTCCAACCCCACCTTATAAAAGAGAGTTTCTAATTCTAATCTATGACACCTGATACTATCTAGCTAAACCAACTTCCTCATTACCTAGAATATTGCTGGCTGGGTCATACTGGTGATAATGATTTCCTAAAATACCTCATTAGAATTGACATTACCTGGTTACAAGAGATGGGCCTCAAACAGGTTGGGGACAGACAGTACAATGAATATCACAAACCACTTCCTGTTCCAGATGCTTTACTGATAGATCATCCCCAGCAGTGGGCAGATTGGTACAATTTGGTAAGCAGAGGGAGGATATGAAGCATGTGCCCTCAGATGCTTCCTGATCTTTATTCAAAGGTTGTTAAATATTTACCAGCACATTACTGGATGTGTTCTATGACAGTACTATTCTTCTGAGGCATATTATATTGAAATACTATTTTAAAAAGTTAACTTCAATTATAATGGAGGTTGTGGTGAAGTTTTATGCTAAAGCTTGTACAGTATGTAAAATGCTTACATACAATATACTAATGGGAATGACAACAAAAGAATATGTATCTTGAAGCACTAATATATAACTCTTATATAAATAAAGTATATATGTTTTCTTTTTTTGACCATGGATCACATAAAATTATCAACCCAAACCATATTCATCTGTCTATGTAATATTGGTAATGCTAACATATAATTTATTACTAGATAACCTGTGACCCATTGGGTCATAGTTTCAGAGATATTTCCTTACCTAAACAGAGAAACAGAATGACCAAGGGAAAAAAAGCAGTGGGAGTGGGAGTGACTTATGACTTGCTGCCGGCTTCCCCATTGACTTTGCTTGTGGGAAGCTGGCAGGGAATGTCAGAAATCTTCCTCCCTCCCTCCCTCCCTCCCTCCAGATCAGGGATACGCCCATGACAACCATGTGACCTGGGCTGATCGCAGTGGCACAGCAGTGCTGAAGTGGCCACAAAGTTCCAAAATTTTAATCCCACGAGAGCAGTGGGTCCCGGATTTTGGATGCATTCTGTAAATTAGCCCATTTGAGATACTTTGGTTCAAAAACTGTTGCCCTATGACACACTATTTCACCCAGTTGAAGGTTACAGACACGAGAGTTTTAGTAATATATACTGTAGATGATAAAGGAATCATATATATACATTTAAAGTACAATTATATTAAGTTGTTTTAGGGTTTCTCTTCCTCTCCAACAACTTAATATTCTTACTTTCTTTGTGATCTCCTACAAGATAGTAACATTGATTTCTGATAATTGAATGTCATACACTATTCTTATTGTTTTAAAATTGTGTTCTAATGCAGGGCTGATCAAGAAATTCAAACATACACCATTGCTGTGATAAATGCACTTTTCTTTAAAGCACCTGATGACAGGAGGCAGGTAAGCTATTCTTAATTGCTGTGATTTTTAAAATATTAGGTACAGTCCCATTTCTCATCATTTTCTCATCATATATTTTCCTGCTCAAGTTTAATAGTTCTTCTTTAATAGTTTAGAGAAGAAGAAAAAAGTGATTTATTAATTATGTTTCCGTAATGAATTATGAATTAAGTTACTACCATTCCTCCAGAGTGAATGACCTACCCAAAGTCACTCCATAAAGTTTATCATGGTTACCCCTGATCAAAATTCAGAATACTTTGTACCAAACAACACAGATGTATCCATTATATTGCTATGCTGTTGCTCAGTTTCTCTAACTAATTTTGGTAAAGAATGAATTGCTGTCATCCAATCACATCAATGAAAAAGAAAACAAATTGTTAGCTATATGTATGAGACAATTGTAGCTTGATCTTTTTTACATGAAAGTATGCTATAGTGAAGTTGACACTCTCCACTCTGTATTACAGATACATTTTGTCTGCCAAGTATATACAGGATAGTTTGTTTTCCTTTGGACTGCCTTCTTTGTAAAGGTTGTTAAAAAATTTAGCCTTCCCTTTTTGCCAGGGTGGGGGGAAGAGGAAGGCTCAGAAAGTTATCTATTTCGTGTCTTAACCTTAGAAGCAAAATAAGAAGTTATGCCTCATTCACATACTGTATTTGTTTTTATTTTTTTAAGATATAAAAATATTGGCAGTACTGCTACAGTGCCAAATGGAAGTATATAATCAACAAGATGTATGGATAGGGAACAAGGAAAACCCATTTATCACCAAAGGAAATAGAACTGGTCTTTTCAGTTTTTGCCAACATTTTATCCTGCAAGCAATAAGTTAACATATTCTATTCCCTAAAATGTGTCATGCTGCATTACAAGATTATACAGTGTTCTCAAACTAAGTTATTATTTTGTTTTTCAAAATTAGGAAATGGCAAATATTTTAGCACAGAAACAACTTCGGGGAATCATTTTACAAGTAAGTACTTTCGCTTTTTTCATTTTTCTGAGTTATGTGTTAGTATTGTAACAATTACAAACATAATATTCTGATCTTGCAGTACTACAATTCACATTTGTATTCACATTTCTCTACTCAGCACAACTGATAATATTACAGCTTGGAGGTTATCCTAATGCAACTCCAACTCACTAATATTACATTTTACCTGTCAGTTACTTTGCAACCCCTTTTTATTATCTATCCAGGCAGATATCAAAACTGGAGTTTTATTGAGTTTTGCCTGTTAATAAGCATGATTTATGCATGATACAGTGGGTCACAAGTTAAATAGGTGTATGCTATAAAGAGGATCAAAGATAAAAAGAGGGGGGAAATGGTATAGAATCAGATAAAGGAGAGGTTATTAATGAATTGTATGCCATAGTAAGTGTGTTGATCTTCACGGTAACAAAAGGTTGTCATGAATAGATTTGTTCTTCAGCTTGAAAGCAGTTTTTTTAATTGTACACATTTTTCACAGATTACTTTGTAAGAACAAAGAGGGATTTACAACTTTTATATTCATAGACAAGTGCAGTGAAATTACATTAATTCCAAAATATCTAAGTAGAGCCTAACAATCAAAATTTCATCATCCAATCTGATTGCATCTCTAATATTAATGTCCCTTTTGTCTCCACAGTCCACAAAGCTGGATATAATGTTTGCTGATAGAACACATGTAGATGGAAGCTCTCCTGATTCTTTTGTTCTTGCTTTTATTTTCAGCATGTTATCAGAGCTCAAAGGACCATTAATAATGAAATGGCACATCAGCTTTATGTTCTGCAAGTACTTACCTTTAACTTATTGGAAGATAGAATGATGACAAAAATGGACCCTCAAGATCAGGTTAGCAAAACAGTCTTGCAATACTGCAGAGGTGGGCAGTCCTCAAGAACCTGTAGCTGTCATATCATTCTTGGAGCAGAATTATTAACAACTGTGGCTTCTCTTTTACACGTTGGAGGCTTTTGTCAAGGGTATCGAAAAGAGTGTTATTGAAGCTGATGACACTAGAATCTTTGATTCTCAGATCCAAAAAAGCCATTTTGTAAGCAAGTGACTGATGGCATAAACAAACAGTCAAATGGCCACTGATTCAGAAAGGTGAGCGGAAGAGTTCCAGGTCTCAGTTGACCATGGATCAGGTTGCCAATTCTTCATTGTAGTATCAGGACAAAGTTGTACCTGGAGGGGCCAGGTAACCCAGATGATGAACCATCTAGCCCAGCTGAAGGGACAGAATTTACCAGACACAATAACTCAAGTCGTACTCCTGGCTCAAGATCCTGCAGTTATTGCTGCTCCAGCAGCAACTCTCCAGTGCCAAACATCCCTTTGGTGCCTGACAAGAATGATGAGAATCTTGGCAGTCTTATTTTCTTCCTTGCTCAGTGTGGATTATAGATCTCTCTAAGCCTGGACTTTCCCACAGACTGATCATGTGTAGGATTTATAATTCATCAAATGACTGAGGGAAGCTACAAAATGGGTAACCTCTTCTACTGTGGTTCAGAGTTAGACAGCTGTGCTAATTCTATGACACTTCTGAGGACTAAGTCCAATGAGCCCATCAAATAGGTTACTGCCAGTTGCAAGATTTGTCACAACAGTATAAATGTTGTGTACAAGAGTATATGGGTGACTTTTAATTCTTAATTGAGCATGTGGGCTGGAATTAAAGAGGTTTAACTGACCAATATGAAGAACTGTCTTATGAAATACAGAGCAAACTCATTCAGTAGGGAACCCTAGAGATTTTTCTTGTGTTGTAGCAGAGGCTCAGTGAAAGAAGAAGACACCATTATTTTCTTTCATTCTCATCTCCTCGCTTTTCAGAAGCTTTAGAAACTGAACCCATCTATCTGCCTGAGAAAAGTTGGTAGAGTGACATAAATGCAGTCTTCCCTAGTCTGGTATCCTGAAGAAGATATTTTGAATTTCAGTTCTATAATCCATAACAGAATGGCCACTGGTATGATGGTCACAGCTTGAAGGAGTCATCAGGATTGGGTTGGCTGTTGTTAGAAGCAAGGAGAGAAATACATGTTATGCATACCTGTGTGGTACATTACAAGCTGCAATGATGTCAAAATGATGACATGTGCATCATCATAACATCATCATACAAATGACACAATTATTTAATTTGTATCAGTTGTGTCATAATCTCTGATATAAGTACATAAATTGCACTACGTGCATGTGTCATTTGCCCCACTTGCTCCACCTTCCATTCAAGTTTTATAATCTCTGCCCCCATCCAAAAATATAGTAGTTTGCTATGCCTATTCTGCCTCTAATCAGAAATATTTAGTTTTCATGACTTGAACGTATATATTATGACACAGTTGCAGAATAACCCAAGTCTTATCCCTTATCAAATAACAATTACATTAAGAAAAGCTGCTGATGTTACTTTTACATGCTTTTAAACATGTTTATTTTAAAGATTTTAATTTAAAAATCTCTTTAAAAAACCATCAGGCCCAGAGGGATATCATATTTGAACTCCGAAGAATTGCTTTTGATGTAGAATCTGAACCCAACAGCAGTAGTGGTAATGTTGAGAAGCGTAAATCCATGTATACCCGTGATTACAAAAAACTTGGGTTTATTGTAAGTATTCACATTTATCATACTATCATTCTAATTGGTTTTGTTTTAGTGACCATATCATGTAGCATAGATGACAGTGGTCACATTCAGTCTACATTCTTGGCTGTTTCCCTTATTTTGACTCAATTTATCCAGGCTATTACTTATTCCAATATGTTATTCCGTGTGTAAGGAAGGGCAAAATCTATCCTTTATTTTCTGGAGTTTTCTGCATCAGGATATCTATGGACACTGCAAATGTTTCACATGTCTTTGATTTTAGGAAATGTGTGCATGAGTATGATCAGAACGCCTATACAAAGACACATGCTACCCGTTTCTTCACTGGGGTATGCAGGTGAATGCCCACTCCTATTATTTAACCTCCTACTCAGCTGTATTGCACAACAGTTTATAACTCATTCTTTATAACATTTTTTCCTAATGGAATATCTAATTAGAAACAGAAGTTAGGCTCAAGTTAACAGTAAATTCCAAATCAAATCTTGCCAGTTACAATGGCCTGTCTAGCTTAGCCTAGCTAACAGTTCTCCCCCCCCCCCCCATATTATCGTTTATACCAAGGGACTCCTGGCTTACAGACTGCATCTGGCCGTTTGGGTCATTTTGGGTGACCTAGAATTGTCATAGCTCAGGCCACAGTTGGTATTAACTCCCCTTGCCATCTCTCCAGGCCCCTGAAAAGCTGGGGCCATCATGGACTAACAGAAATATTAAGCAATATTCTAGAGTTCATCATGGTCTCAAAATATTTATTTAAACAAGTTCTTGGTAGTCCTCCAGATTCTCTGTTTTTGGCATATGGTATGGCTAGTATTTACTGACACATTAAGTCAATCAAGAGTTTCTTGCCAAGAACTCTTGGTATACAAACTGCATGTATATGTGGTCAAATCTCTTATTCATTTGTTTCCTGTTAAAATTAAGAGGCAGTCCTTGTGTAAAAGATGTCAATTCTTTGGCAATAGAATATTCATTTATGAGAAGAGGAATTAAAGAATGCTGCTAAAGTGGATTGTTATTAAAATTTGTTTTGTTTAGATTTACAAACATTTATAAACAAAACAGAATTAAAGTAAGGCTTGTATACCAGCTGCAATCCTGGGAAGTAAGCCCTCTAGAACTTGCAGAATTTGTTCTGGGTAAACATAATGGGATCATGATATTGTGAACTTTTCTAGAGACAGAGTAGTGTTTCAGCTTATTTCAAGTTTATACAATTTACATTTGAACTGTCTTTGCAGCCAGTCATTGCTCATTTTTCTCTCCATGTCTAGGGATGTTTCTGGGCTATCTGTATATTTCTATGAATGTGGAAAAATGCACAATAATTACCTGTCATTGAGGGTTTTTGCTGGTTAAGTGCACATAATTAAATGTGCTGGACTATTGCTTGCTGCTTTTTGTGATGAGTTCTATACATTCCTGCCAGTACAAGTTCTGAGGTTGTGGTTTACTGCTTCTATTGCAGAACTGGTTAGTGATGTATATTTCCTCTTTCCATCAGTTGAGTCACTTGTGATGGAGAGTGCACTATGTTCAGGGCCACTCTTGTAATACATTTGGGCATTATAAAGAAATGCTACTAGGTAATAGTTCAGTTATCTCTCCTTCACCAGGAGGAAAAGGCTGAGATCTTCCCCTAAGATGAAATATGTAAATTCTTGCACATTTTTCTGCCAAAACTTTAGACTTGAAACCTCCTCACTGAACATTGAGTCAGCTGAGTGCAGAGGTCACACAAAATACAGCTTTGGCTGATGTGTTTTAAGCTTCTAATCCATTTTTAAATGGATAACTTATTAAAGTGGAGAAAGATATCTTTTAAAAAATGTTATAATGCTTTTAGTTCTTATCTCATGTTAAACCTTTTAGGCTTATTCTGTTTTACAATAATTTTGCAAATATCTTCAATTATCAATGCCAAGAGAATGGCATTTTACTAAATAAATGTATTGAGGCTGAAGTGGACTTGTTCTGCCTGCTTAGGGTGCGAGGAAACGATCTGGAAGTAAGCAAGCCAGATACAGATAGACAATATTTCAGGTGCTTTTCTCATATGCATGAAGAATGACTGTGGGTTTAGTAATGTTCCATTTGCATAGGCAAGTGGGAAAACTGTTAATTAAGGATGAGCTCAGGTGTAACTCATTAGACCTAAAGCTTTCTGGCATTTTGCAAAGGTTAAAAACCAGTAAGCCATACTATTTAATTTGTGTATGTGTGCATGTGTATGTACAGTATATACATTCATTTTTATTTTTATTTTGTGCCTTCAAGTCAGTTTTTGACTCCTGGCAACTGCCTGGACTAGTCCCTGCAGTTTCCTTGGCAAAGATTTTCAGTAGTGGTCTGCCATTGCCTCCTTCCTAGGGCTGAAAGTTACTGGCCCAAGGTCACCCATCCGGCTTCATGCCTAAGGCGGGACTAGAATTCACAGTCTCCCAGTTTCTAGCCTGATGCCTTAACTGCTACACCAAACTGGCGCTCTCTATAGATCCATACATAATAGAAAACAATAGTCAACAGATGGAAAACAAAATGTTTTTTGCAAACATTTAATAATGAGATAATATGACCAGAATGAGGGAGGAAGAGTTGAATAGTGGTTGATCCTAAATTGAGCCAATTGGATAAACCATGCTATTTCATCCCTGATGCATATGGAGGGAAGGATAGGTTAATATTTTTATTCTCATTTTGAGAGCTAAGTCTGGTAAGTTTGGAAGCAAACAACCTGAAACCAGACTGTAACAAGAGATAGGTGGAATCCATCTCTCCCATCAAAAAAATTATTTCAACAGGGGAAAAAAGGTGCAAGAATTTCAGCACTGAATTTACTATTCATAGGACTTGTATAGCAGTCACTGGAATTCTCTCATAAAGGCGTCATTAGTTTTCCCATAAGCTTATCACAGAGACTTGTGTCTTTGAATGCCTGCCTGCACCTGCCTCCAGTTTTGGTGTTTGCTGTGAGAAGCTTGGCACTCATTTTTTGGAAGAAATAATTTGTTTGATTTCAGCCTTCTTAAATCATATCTATAAGAGTCCAAATTATAGGGGAGGAGGGTGTTTTAATTTTCATTGTGTGGTTTTTACCATTAAATACGGAGTCTCATGATTCTAAGAAAACATAGTTCATAAATTTCAAAACTTGATTTTTCTGAAGCTGTTTTTACTTGAAGATATGTGAGATTATAACATTCAAAAATGGTTAAAGTAGGAAAAAAGTGTATTGCTTTTATGAATAAAATGGAAAGTTAAATTTGTAAGTTTTGAGTTAAACTTTTTGTAAGTTTAAGGAGGTTAGATAATTTATTTGTTGGAAGGCATTGATTTAGTCAGTTGATACCTGAAATAATAGAGAATGGAGGGAGCTTTTTGTCATCCTATATCTTAAACCCTCTATGAGGATTTTATTTATGCCTTCATCAGCTCTTAGGCCTGCTGGTTTCCTGTGGTATTTATAATGAACTGGAATAGAATTAACCAGATTGTATCTTAATAAAGTCAGTCAAAATGTAGCATATATAAGAAATAAGCAGTTTATGCTTTTTTTCTGAGAGTCTGCCCATATGATGACTAATTTATAGTTCTCTGAGTTCTTTACAGTGGGTTCACAGATTTCACATCTACTTTGCTTTTCACTAAAACCTTATGAGTCATCATCAAGAACTAAATGCAAAAGACATACACTTTGCATAAAGGAACAGGTGCTTCAGGATACACTTCTAGTTCCAAAACTGAACTCAGCTCACAGTCATTTTCATACAAAAACCAGCCCATACTGGTTACTCTAGACTTGCTTCGTATTATCAGCCTATCAAAAAAATGGGATGGAGAAATTCTTGTTGATCTACTGCAAATCACCTATTATTAAAAAATACTAGTAAATCCAATTTTTTCTTAGATTTATCAAGAGGAAAAGCAGGGTATAGCTGCAAGAAACAGAGAAAGAGTATGAGTTAAATAAATGTCCCTATTTCATACAACATAAAAATATTTGCCTTGAAGGAGGGGATTTTCCGTAATATACATAGGAAGTATGATAGGAGAGGTGCTTTGAGGCCTATGTTTTGGGCAACTGTAACAGTGCTTTTAAAGGGGGGGGGGGAAGAGTGAGAGCTAGTGAAACCAAATGTAGTAATTCTTCAGAACCTCTTGTCTTGAAGAGTAAATGCCACTTTTGAGTCAATCTTTCTATCAAGCCTGACCATACTTTGTGACTGTTTGCCCTTTGAAGCATTCACAAGACATGAGAAAACATTTCTAAAAGAAGCATTTTTGTCTGGAGTAGTATTTTATTTCTCTTAAAGAGAAGTACTTTAATTCATGAAGTCTGAGTAGAACACTTTCTCATGGAAAAAATGAGAGTAACAGCCAACTGAGTACTACTTACAATCAATTTTATCAATTTTATCTAAATCTGATGCAGAAAGCAACATAAACTTTTATGGGTTATCTTAATGGTAGGGATAGGCAAATTTGGCACTACAGCTACAGAAGTTACAATTATTAGCATCCCTAAACTCTGGCCATGTGGGAGTATTCAGCAAATTATTTTTGGTCTATGTCATACAGAAAATAGATAAATAATATCTTGTGTGCCACAGATTTGGGTAAGGATAATTGGGTCCTGTAGTGATTTTTTTTTTAATTACAGAATTTTCAAGATTCTGTGATCCATAGCCAGGATCATTTACTGAGCCTGCAAACTGATTTTAGGCAAGAATTATTTAAATTCATCAATAAGCAAGTTGCTTTCATTTTTTTCACCATGTGTGTATATGTGTGTGTGTTGAGCCCAGTTTCCCATTAAATGTGGATTGCAGAAAAAGCTGCCAGCTCAGGGCCATATTTGCTGCTGTTCTACACATAGGTGTCTAACAATTTCTTATGTAATTAAAATAATCATGTGGGAAGGACTCATTGTGACCAGTTTGCATTGCCTGTGCACAGCTCTTAAATGATAAAGTTTTGTCTGACTGGGAGAGTAGGCA